GGGGCTGGCTGGCATGTGGTGCTGGGGGATTGAACCGCGGTCCCTGTGCTTTGCTAAGCTTGTTCTAAGTAGGTGCTTTAGACCACTGCGCCATCTCACCAGCCCCTGCATGTTTGATTTTAATTTTTCATTAAAATAAGTTCTCTTTCAAATCTGTGAACGCAGAAGTTCCATTCGGGACTAACCCTGGTTATGTCTTCTGCAGGAAGCCACCCCTGGCCGCTGATGTCTTCAGGCGTGCCTACAGTTCCTCGTCCGATCACAAGTATGTTCCTCGGAGGGCAGTGCTGTATGTACCTGGAAATGATGAAAAGAAAATAATGAAGATTCCCTCCCTGAATGTAGACTGTGTGGTGCTCGACTGTGAAGACGGTGTGGCTATGAATAAGAAGGTAATGGCGCGGTTTTCTGTCGGAAGCCGATAAGAATTGAAATTTGCTGTCTGTGACAGCGCTGCTCACTGTTTGGAACAATTCCACCGTGCTCATCATTGGCTGATTGTTAACAATTCCATCCAGCTTTTATGTGCATCCTGAATGTGTAGGTGTGTCTCTTTTTTTCTGAGGGAAAGGCAGAATTTGATCCACATCTATCTGTCCACTAGAGGTGATTATTGTGTGTGGGTAAAGAGGTAGGCAGTTTTGGGAGCATTAGCATTTGTTTGTCTAGGTAAGTGAGTTACACAATTCTAGAATTGTTGTGTAAGACTCTTAAGCCAATAAAAACAATCGTTTCTTGTCTTTAGCATTAGGTATTGTCTTCTGAGACACATGCCAAGAAAATAAAACACAGCTGTCCATTGATAAATTGCTAGTTTCCATACTTCATTAAAGAGAAACTACTTACAGAACCTTAGGGTTGTCTTAGCTCCTGCTTGGTTTCCTCGTGGCCTGGCTGGAAAAACGAACCTTGGGAAATCTGTACTGTGTAAACAGCTACTGGAAGTTGTTAGTTGGTGATGACATAGTGCATGCTTTTGGCTTAATTTTATTTTGGGTAACTGTGTTTTCTAGATTTCTATAGTGAACATAAGTTTTTTGAAGAATCAGGTAAAGTATTGAAATCTTTATCATGATGACTTATGTTTGCACTTGATCTTCATTTCTGCGGTCCCTGGTCAGTGCGCCTGGGCTGGGAGTGCTCTTGCCGGTGCATAGAGGAGTGGGCCATCTGGGCTTGTGCCTGCTTGGGTAGTTTCTTCCGGTGATCTGCAAGAACCTGCCTGTGCTACCCAACATTCTGCATGAGTTGCTTTCCTTGGAAATTCTAGCCAACAAATATTTGCCTTAATTAAAAAATAAAGTTAATTTCCTGCATCATCCTAGTAATGGTCAAAGCAAGGCTTGTGAAGTCTTTGGAAAAGGATTAGAATAAGCACGTGGCATCTAGTGTCTGCTTAGTATTTTTGGCATGTGCCAAGGAAAATACAATTAATCCTCTTTCTCAAGAGATTAAGGTAAACAGGCCCTTGTTTTGAAGGCTGTGCTGGGATTCCAGTACAGTTCCTCCCAAACCTTGTAGAGTGCTCTGTGATTAGATACTAGATTGTAATTTCGGTTCTGTATGGCCCCGGGCAATTCATTCTGCTTCTTTGCCTCAATTTCTTATCTGTACTGTGGGGATGACAATATCTTCTTTTGTCAGGGCCAGGGATTATTGTGAGAAAAAAATTGATAAAGTGCCAGGAGTAGCTTGATTTCTTATAGAAAAAAGATTAGATAAAGCTGGAGTGATCATGATTGGAAGGGAATTTAGTTCAGCGTTGCCACACAGTGAGCTTTAGGTGCCCAGATAAAGTTCTATTGCATTGCTTTGCACCCCTTGGGGCTCTCCTCTCAGACTTGTCTGAGGGTGTATCTTGGCCCCAGGTGAGCTAAAAATGGGATCCCTTCCCACCTTACCTTTCCTTACTGTTTATCTCTGCTGTCAGCCATCCTTAGACTCAGCACCACCGCAGCTGAGCTACTGTTCAGAAGACCCCCCGAGGCAGAGAAGAGTTTATGACGGACAAGTTGTACTCGCCATCTGGGAGTAGATGTTCACATTGTGTCTTGCTTGGGCCATGTTATAGTTTAGATCTAAAATGTCCCCAGTAGGGCCACCCAGATTGCTCAGTGCACTAAAGTGCCTGCTTAGACAAAGCACAGGGACAGAGCTTGATTTCTGGCACCACATGCTGTGCTGGCCCCACCCCTAGGGTGCCCTGAGCCAGTGATTGAGGCTGGGCGTGATGACGCATGCCTGTAATCCCAGTGCTTGGGAAGCTGAAAACAGGAGGATCACTATGACTCTAATCTGTATAGTGAGACCCTGTAGACCCTGTGGTGACCTATGCCTGTAATCCCAGAACGGGAGGCTGAGGTAGGAGGATCACCATGAGTTCTAAATCAGCCTGGACTACACAGTGAGTTCAAGGCCAGCCAGAGCTGCATAGTGAGAACCTGTCTCAAAAACTAACTTGGGGCTGGGGAGATGGCTCAGTGGAGTAAGTGCTTCCCTGGGCGCCTGAGTTCAATCCCAAATTCCACCAAAAATAAACAAACAAACAAAAAATTAAGTTAACTAGAGACTGGGTGTGGTGATATACACCTGTAATCCCAGTTCTTGGAAGGCTGTAAACAGGAGGATCACTACAAGTCTGATCTAGTAGTGAGACCCTAAACATCCTGTAGACCCTTCCCTAAAATACAAAAAACAAAAACAAAAAAACCTAACTAAATGTCCCCCAAGGTCTACGCGCTCATAGATGGGGCTTTGGGAAGGTGACTGGATCGTGGGGTTGTGGCCGGCTTGCTGTCAGGAGGTGGGGTCTGGTCGGCAGAGGTGGCCTGGCCTCCTCTTCCCTGTGCCTCCGCTCACCCCCTCTGTGCTTCCCGCCACCATGCTAGTAGCTCTTTCTCCTCCATGACGCCTTCTGCCCTGCTGCCCTACCTCGGGCCCCACTGACCATGGGCTGAAACTAAGGAAACTGAGGCCTGTTCATGAATGCTACTGGGATGAGGTTGCTCAGTCACCTAATTCCTCACATCCAGTCTTTTCACAAAGATATTATGAGAGTCTATTCATTGCTTTTTCAGAATGAAGATACATTCCCAGTCTACCAGCCTACAAATGCCTTTTTACCTTATACCTTTAGACCCAAAAAAGGCCAGTTGGACAGGACTGGTCCTTGATAAGGCCATGTCAGTACTTAATTGCTACTCCTGCTTTTGTGTGTGTGTGGCCAGCTCAGCCTATCCTGAGGATGGGGCTAGCAAGGTATTTGGTGCCAGGGATTGAACGCGGTCCCTGTGCTTTGCCTAAGCAGGCGCTTTAGTCCACTGAGCTACCTCACCAACCCTACTCCTGCTTTTTCAAGTGGAATAAATGAGAAAAACACTTCACTGATAATTTCCTATGTAACATGTAATATTATTTACACACATCATCTCATTTAAATATATTATTTTCATATATAATCTTATTTAATCCTTATAGTTACAGTTCTGAAATATGTTCAAGGTTACACTGCCATTAAATGGAAAATCAGCTGGATGTGGTAACCCATGCCTGTGAGCCCAGAACACTGGGAGGCTGAGGTAGGAGAATCACAACTTTGAGCCCAGGGCAACTTAATGACTTAGCAAGACCCTGTCTCAAAATGGAAGATAAAAAAGAGCTGGGGGGCTGGGGAGATGGCTCAGTGTAATATGTGTTTCCCTGGCAAAGCACAAGGGCCTGAGTTCAATCCCCAGTTCCACCAAAAAAAAAAAAAAAAGAGCTGGGGCTATAGCTCAGTGCAAAGGCTCTGGTTTCAACGCCTCACCACCCCAGAACAAGTAGATAACAGAGCTCAGATTTGAAGTTCACCACCTCCCCTTTCTTCAACGGTAGCACCGTGGCCTTCCTAACTTTGTGTCAGCATTGTATTCTCCGTTTCTCAGGAGTTACTGACGGGACCAGAGCTGTATGGTCATATGTGCACATTCCCCAGCATCCTGGGGTTATGATTCATTTACACCAGGGACTTCAGTTCATTTGAAATGTGCAGGTGAGGCTGACATTTCTCATGTGGCACAAATTATTTTTTCTTTCTTGAAGTCACCACTGTCATTTTTCTTTAATTTTTTTTTTAATTTATGTAATAGTAAGGGGCTGATAATGTTTGTTTTGCTGTCTTTTTGAGACAGGGTCTTGCTCCGCAGTTCAGGCTGGACTTGATCTACTTTGGAACCAGGTTGGTCTTGAACTGGAAATGACCTTCCTGCCTCAGCCTCACCAGTGCTGGGATTACAGGCGTGTGCCACCACACCAGCCTTAATTTTTCTTAAACTTGTTCTCTGTCTGTCTGTCTGTCTGTCTGTCTCTCTTTTTATATTTTAGGGAAGGACCTACAGAGTATTTAGGGTCTCACTACTAGATTGGACTCATAGTGATCTGTCTGTTTACAGCCTCCCAAGAGCTGGGATTACAGGTGGGCACCACCACGCCCAGTCTCAGTTGCTGGTCTCATTGCGCCCTGGGGGTAGGGCAGGCAGGCAGGCCCGGTTTTGCACCTGCTTGCAGGCACTTTCATCCTCTGAGCTATTTGGCCAGCCTCGTAAAGTTGGGTTTTTTTTGTTTTTTTTTTTCCCCAGAACCAGGTATTGAACTCCGGCCCTTGTGCTTGGAGGGAAGTGCTTATTCTATTGAGCCATCTCCCCGACCCTTAAAGTTATTCTTGATGGAGGAGATAGGGACTTCTTCAGGGAGTTGATTTCTTACTAAGAAAAACATATTAAACTCTTATTTCAGATTATCCTATTTATTTTTTGCTAAACAGAGGTACTGCTGCCTAATTCAGTGTTTGGAGAATTATAAGAATGTACTCACTTCATTTTATATCTCATTTTCTTTCTTTTTGTGATTAATGGACAAACCCATCTTTCATTTGATTGATTGATGTGTGCGCTTAGAATGAAAACAGTGGGAGTTCCACACAGCACTTTATAAGGCTCTAATACTTTCCAGCAGGCTCTAATCCTGGCCTGCTAATCCAATATGTGTTTAAGGAACTCCTTCACATGGTCCCAGGCATGGATGATGAAAAGACCCTCCACTCCCTCTTTTTTTAAAATTTTATTTGTGTGTGTGTGTGTGTGTGTGTGTGTG